GACATATTAATTGACACTGAGGGTATTTCGTGCATATTGTGGAAGCCTATGCGGCACCGGTTGAAAATGAGGGATTTTTTCCTCTACAGTTAGAAGGTTGTAAATGAAGGTATGTAATGATCCACTATTGTAACTTTTTACGTCACTTGAGCTGTTCCCAGCGGTTAGAAGCTTAGGGCTGGCTATTAACTATCTTCTAGCATTTTCCTCATGCTATCTGCAAACTGTGAGGCCTACTCCACCCTACCCCATATGGTGTGTGGTTGGCATTCCGCTTGCTTCTCAGACAGACTGGCTGGTGCCATAATACCACTCTCACTACCATACTCTGACAACTTACCCTACTTCTGTTACTTGCTGCCTTTGCAACATCGCACAGCTCCTGATAACGCACCGAGAAGTGTAAAAGTAGTGAGCTAAACATTTCCACCCCCCGTGGTTTGTCTTGCATTTGTTAAGATCGCCTGTCTGCGATTGTTTTGCGCGCGCGCGCGCACACACACATACACACAATTGGTTTGGTTTAGGTATATATAAAGAACTTCAGGAAACATACCACAACGAGATTCAACAAACAGCAGACATCGAATTTCGAATCTCCAAGTAATTTTGTGCTAGTTAATTAATATTTTCGAGTATTAGTGAGAGAGAGGGAAAGGGGAGAGAGAGAGAGATAGAGGGGGGGGGGGAATAATGCCATTATTGGCAGACTTCTCCCCTACTCGTCTGCCAATGGCCCTTCCGCTCTTTTCTTACCAGTTCCCGAAGACTCATTTTCTGTTTTCTCAAACCCTTTCTCTTTTCTGTTCTTCTCCTCCTGTCTTCCTTTTCCCACCCTGCCATCGGCAGCAGTGAGTGATGTAGGGTGATGAAGCAGGGGGACTAAGACAACAGCTAGCGAGGGGGAGTCCCATCTTCGACAAGACCCGCCAGGGTAAATATCCCAGCTTGAGTGATATGCACGAGTGAGTAATCAAGCAGCACATCATCTCCAGTGGGTGCTGAGAGTAGGTGGCTGATAAGGTGGCAAGGGGGACGCTTCAGGGGATAGGGAAGAAAAGGTTGGTGGAGGGGGGCTAGATTCGTTAGGGCTAGGAGAGAGGCGGGGGCTGAGTTGATGGAGGCTAGTAGGGAGGGGGCTAAGTTGATGGAGGCAAGGCGGGAGGAGGGTGCGTGAGAGCAGGATGGGACTTGGAGGATGGAGGCTAGTAGGGGGATGCATGTGAGCAGACGTAATGGGAGGCTGAGAGTACAAGGGGAATGCAGAAGAATGAAGTACTACATAATAAGATCGGCAGACGACAACAAATGAAGAGGCAGACTTGCACTGATGGAAAGACGCATTAGTGTGATAAAACAGTGAGAAGACAAGTAACAGGGAAATGACAAGTAACAGGGAAATGACAAGTAACAGGGAATGACAAGTAACAGGGAAACCAAGTTAAAATAAGAGAGAGGTAGAAGTAAATTCTCGAGAGAGAGAGAGAGAGAGAGAGAGAGAGAGAGAGAGAGTAATCCTTGACTGAGAGAGGGAGAAATAAATCCTTGAGTGGGAAAAGTGAGAAGGACAAAGAGTGAGTGAGAGAGAGGTCAACTTCACGTGTGAAATAAAAAATTACGACAAAGCCCGATAAAGTCATTTCAATTACTTGACGAGGAAAGGCAGGGGGCAAGAGTTGAAGCTTTGTCTCTGCCTGAAATGTTTGAGTTCTTGGTCCTCCAGCACCGAGCGTCGGGAATCAAGCAGCGAGTCTTCCAATTGGTATGCTAAGTAGGGCAAAACCTTTAGAGTAGCCATCTTCCTATTTTCTGTGTATAATCGATGTTTCATAAATGTGGTCTGACACAGTTTGCCGCTGACAGATGTGTCTCCACTTAGACTCACCCGAGAGGAGAGTATGAGGATGCCAGACTCGCTGAAGAGGAGAGTATGAGAAGGAAACTGCCAGAGAGGAGAGTAAGAGGTGGATAGAATCAAGCTGGACGGAGGTTAATATCAGCTGTTGTTGACACACGCAGATTGCCAGTTACCAACCCACGTTCCTTGTGATGCAGAGGCGTAATCAAGACGAAGAAATCTTCCCAGGGGCAGAGAAATGGGAAAGGAGATAAAAGAGAATGGAGGTCATAAGGAAGAGGAGAGGGGAAAGAGGGAAAAAGAAAGGAAGATATAAATTAAGACGTTCACACAGTGTTCAGATGAGTTCTTATACGTCTTTCAATACACAGTATACTTCTTGATGATTGCCTTCCGCTTCTCTCCCTGTTTTCTTGGCCGCTTTTTGTTTTAAAATGAAATTGGTTACACCCACAGTATATGGCTACAACTGTTCTTTATGATAGTTACAAAGTGGTGACACACACGCAATGTTAGGTAACAGTTACATTGTGGGAACAAAAGCTAGCTCTGTGTTCCTGTCGCCTTCTATCACACAAGATGAGATTCATTCATGGAGTAATGAAATCTGTCAGCCTGAGCTGGGTGGCTTCAGTAGGACAGTGTGGATATTGTTAGGTAAAAGGACACAAGTGCAACTAATGTGACATTTCATTGTGGCAACGTTTCGCTCTCCAGGAGCTTTGTCAAGCCGTTAAAAAAATACATGGACACAGAGGATATATATAGGCTTAGAGTGAGGTGTAATACTAGTGGTAGTAATAGTAGTATCAGTTGTAGTAGTAATATTAGTTGTAGTAGTAATATTAGTTGTAGTAGTAATATTAGTTGTAGTAGTAATATTAGTTGTAGTAGTAATATTAGTTGTAGTAGTAGTAATATTAGTTGTAGTAGTAGTAGTATTAGTTGTAGTAGTAGTAGTATTAGTTGTAGTAGTAGTAGTATTAGTTGTAGTAGTAGTAGTATTAGTTGTAGTAGTAGTAATATTAGTTGTAGTAGTAGTAATATTAGTTGTAGTAGTAGTAATATTAGTTGTAGTAGTAGTAATATTAGTTGTAGTAGTAATATTAGTTGTAGTAGTAGTAATATTAGTTGTAGTAGTAATATTAGTTGTAGTAGTAATATTAGTTGTAGTAGTAGTAATATTAGTTGTAGTAGTAGTAATAATAGTTGTAGTAGTAGTAATAATAGTTGTAGTAGTAGTAATAATAGTTGTAGTAATAGTAGTAATATTAGCTGTAGTAGTATTAGCTGTAGTAGAAGTACTAATACAATATGATAGAACAATCAACTTGCACCTGAGATATTGTGTGGATATTGTCTAGCATTCTTTCGTGTGTGCTCAGTAGCTACGGCAGCTGTGAGCAGCGTAACTGGGGATGGAACTTATAGCAGTCGTAGACAGGATGACGTGCGAGTTCATGGAAAAGACAGCTAGCAGAGTAATTGGAAGTTCACACCAAGGCTAGATGCTGTCAAGACCATCTACTTCTACCTAGATTAAGGACTATCGTCAAGTATTTAAGTGTATGAGACAAGTAGAACGAGTGTGAGTGAGAACACGGGTAATTAAGGCGTTCTTCAGATTTCCCCCCACCCAATTAGTACCCAGACACTTATTTCAAGTCCTGACACTCCCACACCCCTCATCCTTATCCTCCTCTCACATGTCCCCTTCTAGCTCTTTTCCCCTAGTTCTTCCCCCCACAAATTTCCCGTCGCTCTAACCGCCTCCCCTCTTTCCTCACACAACTGCAGTCTCGTGCCGCTGAAATGAGTCTTCTGTAGCAGGGGTGGTAGTGGGTAGCCAGTTCTCGCACCAAGAGCTTAGCTTGATGTTATGCACCTCATACCCATCCTATGGGCTGTAGTCAAAGGATTACAGAATGACATAATGGGCCCAGGGACCGTGTTCCAATATTAGTATGTGCTAAGCAACTTAAAGGGTTAATGAAATATTTACATAAATATTACAACCCAGGAGTCCCAAAGGCCTGTTATCCTGGGTGTAAAGGGAGCAAAATAGACACAGCAGAAAAACTTTTTGACTTGTATTATCTTTCACCAGTTTAGAACAGAAGTATGTACACTATATACACTATGTACAACAATAGGCATTAGTGCACTCCACGGTTAGCAAGGCAGAATAGAAGCCATTAGAGAGCAGACCGTGCTTCAACCAGCTCTAGAATGGGAATGACAAGGGCAGACAGGTGAGTGGTACCCACATCACCTCTGCGGTTGCCAAAGCCATCTTCTCATTGGCTGGAACCTGCGTACTGATTGAACGATGGGGCCCCATCGTCAACCCTTAGCCCCTGGTTCGCTGGTTGGGGGAGATAGCCTTTCAGTGAGTGTACACATGCGCCGAATAAATGTTACGTACTCTTTGCATGCCACATTAAACGACAGTGGTAACTACGCGTTTGCAATTATGAATTCAGTCACAGTAACATTACTTTGTAAACGTACGTGGTTTTAGTTATTTACACTACACACGATTTAACAAAATATGATTGATGTGATTATGAATTATCTAAAACAGACTAAAATAAGGTATTTTTCCGATTTGGCTGGTAATATGGCACTGTGGATAAAATAGTTGGTATTTCTTGAACATTTGTGAGGGAGTTGTGTCTGAATTCACAAAGTTTACACTTAGTTACGTCTACATCACTTGTGGTGCAATTTCCCAGAAGTACTTGTAGCCCAGCTGATGCTGGGCAGTAGTGACATCCAAGAGTCTGCTGAACTTGTTGGTTGCACCATAGACATGTGGCTTCTCCTACATGACAATAATGATAGATGGATTGACTGGTATCACTTCCTCCTCCTCCTCTCTCCCACTCCTCTCTCTCAATTCAGTGAAATTCAATTCAAATTAAATTCGTATTATAATTAACAGTTAGAGGTTGTAATCTCCTTCCTCCTTGGAGAAATACATACACCTTTAATAATACATTGGTTCTAAATGCATTTGAAGAATAATGTGAAGTGAAATCCACAAAAGGTGCACTGACTCCAGTTTGCATGTCTTCGATAATTGCATCTGGTTCCTGACACAAGCACATCACAGTTGATACATATAAAGGTAAGAGCATTTATGGATGACAGGGAATCACTTAAAATTAAGGAGTCAACTCGAGATACTTGGACACACATGAGTGCAAGTGCAGCTAAAAGTTTTACAAAGGATCCAGAACTTTTCATCACTCTCTTCAAATATAAGCGTAATGGTAAGACCTGTGACTAAAAGAAGGAAGTGTAAAATAAACTGTGAAAAGCAGGAGTGTAACTGGCACAGTAAGATGTCGGCGTCCATTGGCCTAGACTAGTCAACCTGCTGACAGCAAATATCCAACATTGCCGCAACAAATTTCAAAGTTTACCAGAGTAAATTGGATCACTACCTCTGGCATGTGCCAGATCAATCAGGCTGTGATGGATATGTACGCCACCATGTCGCCATTTTTGAACTTCCCTGTACCAGTGTCCTCCATAGAGGTCTACATGACCCAAGTGGTCTGTGACCGGTATCCCCTCTCTGCCATGTGTGGAGGAAAGGGGGGGGGGGTACACCTGCTCTTTCTCACCATGCTATAGTGCCATGTGCTAACTCACGAGCCTGGCCCAAAGGAGTAAAATAAAAACACTCGAAACTCAAAGGTAAAGGGAGGATGTGGCCCTTGCAATATGAGAAAATGAGATCTATTTATTACTAGAGTCTTATGAATGTCATAGTGTTCTGACATCTTGAGAGTAACACTCGCCTTTGCCAGTTATCTGGCAACCGTGCCCCAGGGTAGAGCTAACATCTGTAGGTTCGGCTGTTTGAATTCCTGGAGGGCTGTCTCGTCTCAGGAACCAAAGCAGCAGCACGAGCACTCGTAATTTTTCAGTTTGAGATCTCGATCCAGGGTCCAGCAGCTAAGTGTGTTTGGAAATAACCTAACCGTCACAGTTTAACAGCTGAAGGGTGTACACAACTGCTACAGCAGTATATATACTACTGATAAATTTAGTACTGTTCCCTGAACATATTAGAGAGAGACCCAGCACCTTTGGATTATTAAGTACCGAGACTCGTTTAAGTGTTTATCAATGGACTTTCTAGACTAATGCACACTTCTAGAGTGGACTGTGAGATCGAGGAAATTACCGTCACATGTGCTAAGCGAGTGTAAACCGTAATGATTGAAGACAGTCGCGATTGGCGACAACTTAAGACCTGGGTTAATGGGCACCCTGTCTTGACCTCAATACGAGCCCAAGTCCTCAGGTTTAATTAATACACCTTGGGAAGGGGATCAGTTAAAATCCATTCTCTGTACCTTGTTCATTAAATAGTTTGCAATTTATAATTTGCGCAAGGCAGGTAGGGACCTGATTGGTATATACATTGTTAGCATAGGGCAAGTGGGGCCACCAAACTCGAAAGATGGTCAAAGTGTCATTTCAACGCATATTGTATTTACTCTTGTGTGAACCCCCTGACCTGAACCCCGACTTCATTCACCGTCAAATCTGATGAACCTTGAGCCTGGTAACGAATCAGGAACTAGATGTCAACAAGGACATCTTATTTGTAATTGAAGAGTCCAAAAGTAATTATTGACGACTTCTATTTGGAGGATACTGTTTATCAAATCTTGACAGTCTGTGTCTAGGCTGACAAGCTCTGGCTGAACAGACTGACATTAATTTGCAGAGTCCGTCAAGTATATACTCTTGAAACTGGTCACAGGTATGCCCGTGCATATCTGTGGCTTCGTTAGTGGGTGTGTTGCAAGGACGAACAGCCTGACTTACTGTAGGTCAAGCAGTACTCCTGCAGTGACTGGGCCGCGGGGGCAGTCATCCCTTGAAGCATCACCAGGTAGATAGTACTGTACTGTGAGTTTACAATATGTTTGTAATGTTTCCAAGGTGATACAGAGGATGAGGGTGGCGGTACGAGGGTGAGGGTAAAGGTGAGGGCAGCGGAGAACAACATGACGTTCATTGGTGGTAAGTTCCAACTGCTTAAGAATGAAGAACTCGACAGGAACACTGTATACAAAACTCAAGAGGATCGTCAAATAGAACGAAAGGAACACGTGAAAGACTTGGAAATAATTATGTCAACTGACCTTTCTTTCAAAGAACAGTATGACAGGAGGATAATGGGGTGGATAATGAGATCCTTCAAAACAAGGGAAATAGTGCCAGTGGTGACACTTCAAATCGCTTGAGCTCCCTCCTTTGGAATATTGCTCATTGTTGACAACCCTGTTGAGGGCAGGAGAAATATCAAAACTGGAACAGATTCAGAGATCGTTGACGGCCCGCATAGAGCCAATTAAGCATTTAAATTACTGGGAATGCCTGGCTTAAAATTTTAGACATGTACTCACTGAAGCAGAGAGAGATTCATTGTAATATATACCTGGAAAGTACTAGAGGGCCTGGTTCCAAATCTGCACACTGCCATAATATACTGGAGCGAGAGATATGGGAGGAAATGTAAAACAAATCCAGTGAAAAGCAGGCGTGAAAAACATCCGTGGCCCCAGTTTATTTAGTATCTTACCAGAAGATATCAGTAACACTGCTGGAACAAGTGCAGAAGTCTTCAAGAGGAAGCTGGAAAAGTATCACCAGGTGCCAAATCAACTAGTCTGTGATGGATGTGGGCCAGCTGGCCACCAGCAGCAACAGCCTGGTTGACCAGACTAGCACCAGACAAGCCTGGTCCATGGCCGGGCTCCGGGAGTAGAAAGACTCCCGAAACTCATCAAAGGTATATCAAAGGAGGGTGGCGGTTCGAGGGTAAGGGTGGTGGTGGGTGAGGTTAAAGTTGGTTGAAGGGGAATGGGGATTGTGGGTGTTTGGGTAGTGGGTAAGGGTGGGTGGAGGGAAGGTCTTGAACTGAGGTGTGGGACCAGACTCTCACATGACCCATACTAATTAAGAGAAGCCCCCTAATGAAGCCTCTTAAAGTAGCTGAATGCCTAAGCGAAGCCTCTTACCCTACCTGAGGGGTATTGAGGGCGTGGGATGTGGTGGAGGCGGGTTATAGTTAAGGAAGGTTGTGGATTGGGGTGGTGTGGGGATGGGTTGTGGTGGGTCGTGTTGGCCACATTACAAAAAAAATGATTAAATAATTAAATATTCCTGAAGAGATACCTTAAAGTTGTTCCCTGAATATTAGGAGAGAAGTAAATAATGAAACTGAATGTTATAGGAATGCAATAAGAAACATGAGTAGATCTATAACCCACTATGATAACATGAACATAGACAAGTAAGTTTATGGAGCAACTTGTAGTGTCTGGTAGTTTGGCAGACACACAGAATGATCTATCGAAATGCAAAGTATGTGGCCAGCCCTATGGTCACTATCTTGAACACTATGCTTAATTGTCCACTTATTGGAGAATATAGCGATAGACAGTATAATAGCCTATGTGACATGTCAAGATATCTTATTAATGAAAATAAGATACAAGATATATTAAGCAGATTTCCTAACTTTGCTTGTAACAGATAAGTGATCTGTAGATATAAATCCAGATGTACTCCTGTTAACCCTTTTGGGGCATAGTTCCTAAGCCTTTTTGTGTATCCATATGCTCTTGCGCTACCGTTCACAGGATGAATATGAGGTGCACAATAAACTAGCCACTTTGGTGGCTTGAGAACGCCTCATCTGATCGGCTACACATATCCAGCATTGATTACCGTAATCTGGAAAATCAAAATAAATTTTTGAAACGGTTACGAGACAGCAGATTACGATTTTATGGAGAAAAATAAGCTGTACATTATAATTTACATCTGGAAAATCCTAAGAGGGATTGGTCTGAAATCTGTATACAGAAATCATTCCCTGTGAAAACAAACATACCTCCAATGAAAAGCAAGAGTTCCGTGAGTACTATAAGAGAAAACACTCAGCATGGCTTTAAAGGGGAAAGGTCATGCCTATCACACCTTTTAAATCACCATGACAAAATTACGGAGGTCTTGGAGGGGGAAACAAGTGTTGTTTTGAAAATGCATTTGACAACTGCGATCATGATGTAAGAGCTCATTAAAGGAACTTAATTGGCATCACGAGGAAATTTTTAGGGGACTGCAATTGTTGCTGCAGCAATAAGGGAACACTGTATCAACATCCGGGGTCCCAGGCTATTCAACATCTTACCAGAAGATATGAGAAACATGGCTGGAACAAGTGTAGAAGCCTTCGAGATGAAACTGGACAAGTATCTTCAACAGGTGCCAGAGCAACCAGGCTGTGATGGGTATGTGGAACAACGGGCCTCCAGCAGCAACAGCCTGGTTGACCAAGCAAGCACCAGACGAGCCTGGTCCATGGCCGGGCTAAGAGAGTAGATAAACTCTCGAAACTCGTCAAAGGTGTGACAACTCATTTGAGGAGGATGAAGCAGGAGTGACATCAGGAAAAGTGGCTTTGTGTGTATAAAGTCTCCAGTGTTCAAACTGCTAACAAAACAGATCACAACGAGTGACAGTGAGCAAAACGTAATCCAGTCTCAGCAGTGTGGGTAAGTTCAGTTACCTCGAGGCACGGTCCTGGCACTAGCACTGTCCTTCACCCTCACAGCAAAGAGACTCGGTCCTAGCACCAGCGCTGTTCCTCGCCTTCACAGCAGACAGACAAGAACACTAACCAACGTATGAAAGCAATCTCGTTAGAAAACAGAAAAACTACCAACATATCAACAAAGTTTTGCAATGGGTAAATAAAAATAAGGTGATATTCAGTGCTACCTAACTTCAACTGCTTAGATATGGGAGGAATGAAGACCTCACAAGGAGTGCAGAATACAGCTCTCAGTTAGGCCATCCCCCCAATGAAAGCAGGTGCAATACTCGTTAAGAGACCATACAATAAGTCAGGGCCGAGACTGTTCAACTGCCCAGCACACATAAGGGGGATTACCAACAGACCCCTGGCAGTCTTCAAGCTGGCACTGGACAAGCACCTAAAGTCAGTTCCGGATCAGCCGGGCTGTGGCTCGTACGTTGGTTTGCGTGCAGCCAGCAGCAACAGCCTGGTTGATCAGGCTCTGATCCCCAGGAGGCTGGTCACAGACCGGGCCGCGGGGGCGTTGACCCCCGGAACTCTCTCCAGGTAAACTCCAGGTACAACATATGTAAAAATAATAATATCAGAGTTTTTCATTTGGAAACACAATAAGTTGCAACGAAGGTCAGGAATATAACAAGGTGAATTATGAAAACTTTCAAAACAAGAGAAACAACACCAGTTATGGTACTTTATGAATGACTTGTGCTCTCACAACTTGATTATTATTCTACGCTCACAGCATCTTTCAAGGCAGGAGAGATAGTGGAGCTGGAAAATATACACAGATAGTATACTGCCATCATGGAATCAATAAAACATCTAAACTATTGGAAAGGCATCAAAGCACTTGAATTGTTCTTTCTGGAATAGAGACTAGGGACATACCCGATAATATATACATGGAAGATACTTTACGGCCTCTTACCTAACCTGCTCACTGCTATAACTCTGAAGTGAAAGATACGGGATAAAGTGTGGAATAAACTGAGTGAAGAGCAGGTGGAAGAGGGAAGGAGAGCATAGGTACAACTACAGAACAGACTCATGGTCCAAGACTCTTCAACCAACTACCACCAAGTTGTTCCCAGATACTACCTACCTGGAGTCTACCCGCCCCTGCAGCCCGGTCCATGACCAGGCCTCCCGGTAGATCAGGGTCTGATCAACTTGGCTGTTACTGCTGGCCGCACGTAGTCCAACGTACGAACCGTAGCTCTATAGATCTCAAAAATATTACCGGAACGATAAGTTTTCGAGACAATGGGCAGTTTCCTTCTACAGTTCAGGATCAGCCGGGTTGTGATGGCTGTGTGGTCCTGCGGGTCGCTAGAACAGACTGGTTGATCAGGCGGTTAACAGGAGAGCCTGGTCTTATGCTGGGCTGCGGGAGTAGAGTTCTAGAAAGTGGTGACAGGCGACTTCTTGTATTAGTATTTACCATCTGTCAAAGGCTCTTGTCAAATGTACATTCGACCTGCTTTGTGTTAATGTGTGTATACTCACCGAGTTGTGTTTGCGGGGTAGATACTCAGCTCCTGGTTTCGCCTCTTACATTACCTTAATGGGCATCATTAATTTTGGGGGACTTATCATATATACTCTTGAAGTTTGCCTCCACCGCTGCCTCTTCCAAGTCATTTCACTTCTTAACACTTTAAGCTTGATCGCGTTCGTCATCACCAAGGATTGTGTGTGTCTCTTGGGGCTTGTCTGTCTCTCCCAGTCGCGAGCCTATATACAGAGGCAAACCTCAAGTCTCTATTTTGTCCCCTTCCACGATTTTCACAAATAGAACAATTACAATTATTAGTAAGGCTGATTAGGTGTTCCCGAAGGAGGTGGTAGCATTAAGTGGTTTTCCTGATTCTTCTTTTTCTTTCTCTATGCTTTTGTTTATGACTTGAGAACGCCGAACTGCTTCCAATTCTCAACACTGATTTACTGCACAGGGAAATGGGTTCCTGCAACTATTGGAACTTGGAGGTGCTCTGTGCTCAGAGTTATATAACCCATTCCCTAATTTTCGTTTCTGTGTGATACCTTAAGGAAGCCTCTGATCGACTTCAAACACCCAAAAAAGTGTACCATAATTAGAGCTGTTACTAGAGTACGTAGGCATCATTTTTCCATTTGTGTGTATGAGAGAGAGAGAGAGAGAGAGAGAGAGAGAGAGAGAGGAGAGAGAGAGAGAGAGAGAGAGAGAGAGAGAGAGAGAGAGAGAGACTGACTTAAGCCACTTTAACCGTATTTACCCAAGAGTCGAGATGGACGGTTGTCAAGGTCATTGTTGCCTGAGAATCAATTTGCAACAGTCATTGTTATGGTGATGGCCGCGAATAGCCGTGAACTTGAGCGTTCTCCTGCCTCCGCTCACCTTGCTTGGTAGTGCTTTGCACATTGTGTTTGTGCGCGTTTTGCAGTAGTTTGCTTTCGTTGCATTTTGGGGAAGGTTTGTGGGTGGTAGGGGGTGTCGGAAGTGGTTGTGGTATTAGTGGTGTTGCTGTTTGTGGCGGTGTAAGGAGCATTGTGGGTATAATTTTTGTGTGTAAATTCTTTCCCGTCACTTTTTACTAAGCTGTTCGTTCTATCGCTTCAGGGCAGTTCCGGTCTCCGGAGATCACGGAACATCCTGCCGACTTGCTGGTGCCCAGGAACGAGCCAGCCACCCTCAACTGTCACGCCGTGGGCAGGCCAGAACCGGAGATCACCTGGTACAAAGACGGACAGCCTTTTGTGTAAGTATTACGAGTGGTTTACCTGTTTGATCTTTATACATAGACTTCTCTGTTAACAGACGCTTCTACACTACCTGCTCTTTTTCCCTTCGTCTATTCAGTGATTCGCGTCATCTATCAGAGACTCATTGCCCACACGTCTAAGGACGGACATCCAAATATAATCACTTTCTCCACGCTTCTTCCAGTCTCATATCCAGTTTTTCATCGCCTAAATTTTATGTCACCCTCACCACCTTACTCTTTTCTGTGTTCTCTTTAATTTCCTTCTTTTACACAGCCTCCCATATATCTTCACCGGTTTTTACAAAGCTATGTATAACTTTATTTACCAATCATCACACATACCCAAGGTCTTTTTTTTTTTACTGGAAAATAGTTTCCTCTCTTTCAAGCATTCACTGACCTGAGCATCACTACAGGACTCTTTACTGCAACATCTGCCACCTTGCTCCCATATGTGCCCTCTAAATCCATGTATACGACAAGCAGTTTCCTAATCTAAGTATCACTGTTATGGTTCATTGTGAACACCTGAATCATCCTTGTTCCTCTGCAGTTCTCGTTTCTGTCTTTCCCATAATTCTTTCAATAATAATTCTACTATACCCTTTGTACTGATATACTTAATAGACTTATGTAAGTCCCTTCAGTTCTTACATATTCTCCTGTGTCATTTTCACAATGCAAAGGAACTATAATCTCTGCCTATCTAGAGGTACCTTTCGTTCCTTCTTTTATGTATCTACTGAACAAATACACCAACCACTTCAATCGCATTGCTTTCGACATCGCAGTCTTAAGCCTGTGTGTGTGCGTGTGTGTGTGCGTGTGCCTGTGTGTGTGTATTCACCTATTTGTGGTTGCAGGGGTCGAGTAATAGCTCCTGGCCCCTCCTCTTCACTGATTGCTACTAGGTCCTCTCTCTCCCTGCTCCATGAGCTTTATCAAACTATGTATGGTTCCTGCCTCCACTACGTCACTTTCTAGGCTATTCCACTTCCTGACAACTCTGACTGAAGAAATACTTCCTAACATCCCTTTGATTCATCCGAGTCTTCAACTTCCAATTGTGGCCCCTTGTTTCTGTGTCCCATCTCTGGAACATCCTGTTTTTGTCTATCTTGTCAATACCTCGCAGTATTTTATATGTCGTTATCATGTCTCCCCTAACCCTCCTGTCCTCCAGTGTCGTCAGGCCAATTTCCCTTAACCTTTCTTTCGTAGAAGAATCCCCTTAGCTCTGGGACTAGTCTTGTTGCAAACCTTTGGACTTTCTCTAATTTCTTGACGTGCTTGACCAGGTGTGGATTCCAAACTGGTGCTGCATACTCCAATATGGGCTTGACTTATATGGTGTACAGAGTCTTCAGCGATTCCTTACTGAGGTATCGGATTGCTATTCTTAGGTTTGCCACACGCCCGTATGCTGCAGCAGTTATCTGGTTGATATGCGCCTCAGGAGATGTGCTCGGTATTATACTCAACCCATGATCTTTTTCCTTGAATGAAGTTTGCAGTCTTTTGCCACCTAGACTATACTCTGTCTGCGGTCTTCTTTGCCCTTCCCCAATCTTCATGACTTTGCATTTGGCGGGGTTAAATCCAAGGAGCCAGTTGCTGAACCAGGCTTGAAGCCTGTCCAGGTCTCTTCGTAGTCCTGCCTGATCCTCGACCGATTTAATTCTTAACTTCACATCATCTGCAAAAAGGGACGCTTCCGATTCTATCCCTTCCGTTATGTCATTGAAATATACCAAAAACGGCACAGGTCCTAGGACTGGCCCCTGTGGAACCCCGCTTGTCACAGGCGCCCAATCTGACACCTCGTCACGTACCATGACTCGTTGCCTCCCTGTCAGATATTCTCTGATCCATTGCAGTGCTTTTCCTGTTATGGGTGCCTGATCCTCTAGTTTTTGCATTAATCTCTTGTGAGGAACAGTGTCGAAGGCCTTCTTGCAATCCAAGAAAATGCAGTCTATCCACCCCTCTCTCTCGTGTCTCATTTCTGTTACCTTGTCATAAAACTCCAGTAGGTTTGTGACACAGAATTTTCCTTCCCTGAAACCGTGCTAGTTGTCGTTTATAAGTTTGTTTTTCTAAGTGCTCCAACACTCTCCTCCTGATGATCTTCATGACTTCACATACTATACACGTCAGTGACACAGGTCTGTAGTTTAATGCCTCGTGTCCCATTTTGTGTGTGTGTGTGTGTGTGTGTGTGTGTGTGTGTGTGTGTGTGTGTGTGTGTGTGTACTCGCCTAGTTGAGGTTGCAGGGGTCGAGTCCAAGCTCCTGACCCCGCCTCTTCACTGGTCGCTACTAGGTCACTCTCCCTGAACCTTGAGCTTTATCATAACTCTGCTTAAAGCTATGTATGGATCCTGCCTCCACTACATCGCTTCCCAAACTATTCCACTTCCTGACTACTCTGTGACTGAAGAAATACTTCCTAACATCCCTGTGATTCATCTGTGTCTTCAACTTTCAACTGTGTCCCCTTGTTGTTGTGTCCCATCTCTGGAACATCCTGTCTTTGTCTTCCCTATCTCTCCTGTCCTCCAGTGTCGTCAGGTTGATTTCCCTTAACCTCTCCTCGTAGGACATACCTCTTAGCTCTGGGACTAGTCTTGTTGCAAACCTTTGCACTTTAACTAGTTTCTTTACGTGCTTGGCTAGGTGTGGGTTCCAGACTGGTGCCGCATACTCCAATATGGGCCTAACGTACGCGGTGTACAGGGTCCTGAACGATTCCTTATTGAATGTCGGAATGCTGTTCTGAGGTTTGCTAGGCGCCCATATGCTGCAGCAGTTATTTGGTTGATGTGCGCTTCAGGAGATGTGCCTGGTGTTATACTCACCCCAAGGTCTTTTTCCTTGAGTGAGGTTTGTAGTCTCTGGCCCCCCTAGACTGTACACCATCTGCGGTCTTCTTTGTCCTTCCCCAATCTTCATGACTTTGCACTTGGTGGGGTTGAACTCCAGGAGCCAATTGCTGGACCAGGTCTGCAGGCTGTCCAGATCCCTTTGTAGTTCTGCTTGGTCTTTGATCGAATGAATTCTTCTCATCAACTTCACATCATCTGCAAACAGGGACACTTCGGAGTCTTTTCCTTCCGTCATGTCGTTCACAAATACCAGAAACAGCACTGGTCCTAGGACTGACCCCTGTGGGACCCCGCTGGTCACAGGTGCCCACTCTGACACCTCACCATGTACCATGACTCGCTGCTGTCTTCCTGACAAGTATTCCCTGATCCATTGTAGTGCCTTCCCTGTTATCCCTGCTTGGTCCTCCAGTTTTTGCACTAATCTCTTGTGTGGAACTGTGTCAAATGCCTTCTTGCAGTCCAAGAAAATGTAATCCACCCATCCTTCTCTCTCTTGTCTTACTGCTGTCACCATGTCATAGAGCTCCAGTAGATTTGTGACACAGGATTTCCCGTCCCTGAAACCATGTTGGCTGCTGTTGATGAGATCATTCCTTTCTAGGTGTTCCACCACTCTTTTCCTGATAATCTTCTCCATGACTTTGCATACTATACATGTCAGTGACACTGGTCTGTAGTTTAAAGATTTGGACTACATTTGCTGTCTTCCATGCCTTAGGCAATCTCCCTGTTTCGATAGATGCATTGAATATTGTTAGGGGTACACATAGCACCTCTGCTCCCTCTCTTAGGACCCATGGAGAGATGTTATCTGGCCCCATTGCCTTTGAGGTATCTAGCTCACTCAGAAGCCTCTTCACTTCTTCCTCGGTTGTGTGTACTGTGTCCAGCACTTGGTGGTGTGCCCCACCTCTCAGTCTTTCTGGAGCCCCTTCTGTCTCCTCTGTGAACACTTCTTTGAATCTCTTGAGTTCCTCACATACTTCACAGTCATTTCTTGTTGTCTCTCCTCCTTCCTTCCTTAGCCTGATTACCTGGTCCTTGACTGTTGTTTTCCTCCTGATGTGGCTGTATAACAGTTTCGGGTCAGTCTTGGCTTTCGCTGCTATGTCGTTTTCATATTGTCGTTGGGCCTCCCTTCTTATCTGTGCATATTCATTTCTGGCTCTACGACTGCTCTCCTTATTCTCCTGGGTCCTTTGCCTTCTATATTTCTTCCAATCCCTAGCACAATTGGTTTTTGCCTCCCTGCACCTTTGGGTGAACGATGGGCTCATCCTGGCTTTTTCATTATTCCTGTTACCCTTGGGTACAAACCTCTCCTCAGCCTCCTTGCACATTGTTGCTACATATTCCATCATCTCATTAACTGGCTTCCCTGCCAGTTCTCTGTCCCACTGAACCTCATTCAGGAAGTTCCTCATTCCCGTGTAGTCCCCTCTCTTGTAGTTTGGCTTCATTCGTCCTGGCCTTCCTGCTTCCCCCTCCACTTGTAGCTCTACTGTGTATTCGAAGCTTAAAACCACATAATCGCTGGCCCCAAGGGGTCTTTCATATGTGATGTCCTCAATATCTGCACTACTCAAGGTGAATATGGAGTCCAGTCTTGTTGGTCCATCCTCTCCTCTCTCTCTCTTGTAGTGTCCCTTACGTGTTGGTACATGAAGTTTTCCAGTACCACCTCCATCATCTTAGCCCTCCATGTATCTTGGCCCCCATGTGGCTCCAAGTTCTCCCAATCGATCTCCTTGTGGTTAAAGTCACCCATGATCAGGAGCTTTGCCCTGCATGCATGAGCTCTTCTGGCCACTGCAGCCAGTGTGTCAACCATCGCTCTATTGCTCTCGTCATACTCTTGCCTTGGCCTCTTGCTCTTCTGTGGTGGGTTATACATCACTGCAATTACCACCTTGGGACCTCCAGAGTGAAGCGTTCCCACTATGTAATCACTTGCTTCTCCGCTGTCTCCTCTCTCCAGCTCATCAAAATTCCATCGGTTTTTGATCAGCAATGCCAGTCCTCCACCCCCACTGTTCCCTCTGTCTTTCCTGAGGATATGGTATCCCGTTGGAAAGATGGCATCTGTTATCATACCTGTAAGCTTGGTTTCTGTGAGAGCTATGATGTCTGGTGATGCCTCTTTTGCTCTTTCGTGCCACTCCTCCCACTTATTTGTTATTCCATCAGCGTTTGTGTACCATACCTTCAGTTTCCTTTCTAACACTGTGGTTTGGGGGGCCTGTGAGGGTGGGAGACTTGGTAGCGTACTGTGGGATTCTATAGCTGGGTGTTGGGTGGAAGCTGTGGGTATGGATTGTAGTTTGTGTTGGGATGGTGTGATAGGTTGTGGGGTTCTGGGGATAGTTGTGTGTGTGCTTGCCCTTGCTGCTCTGTTCTGCTCTGATTGACCTCTGCTGGTTCCATACTTGTCTCCTTTCCTAGCTCCTTTCGCTTTCTTGTCCTCTCCCTCAGCTGCTGTCATTCTGTTTGTCTCTGTCTAGGAACACCCTCTTGTACTCTTCCGAGTATTTCAACCGTGGTTTCTTTTGGAGGATCCTGTTCCGCACTGTTTCTGTCCTGAGAATCAGCTTGATCGGTCGTTTTCTCCCCTTCAAGTACCCCCCTATTCTCTTAAAATTTACAATCTCGTCCATGTCTTCTCCACCTATTTCCCTGATGATTTTCTCAGTCTCTTTCTGCCTGCCGTCTTTCAGTGTGTGTCCTTTCATCTCTCTCCTGAAGCCCATGGATAAACACTGATTTTGCCCTTTCCTCCTCCCACTGCCTCTCCCTCTGTGACTCTGGTTCCTGTCTGTACGTGGTCATTTTCTCCCTTGATTTTTCCAGTGGCTCTTGGTAGTATGGTTGTGCCTCTGCATTCGACCTATCACCCTCTCTACCTGCACCCAGCTGCTCTTCCCTTTCACTCCTTGGCCCTTCTTGGCAGGTTATGACCTTAGCATAATTCATATCTCCTTCCTTCCTGTTCGGCCTCTCCTTCCTTCCTGTTCGGCCTCTCAGCTTCATATGCTATGTCTTCTCTGGTCACTGACCCTGTAACTTGCCTCAGCCTGTTTACCTCATCTTCTAGGACCCTTATCCTGGCTACTGCAATTTCGACATGTACCTCCCAATTGTTTGTGTGTGTGTGTGTACTCAACTGTGATTGCAAGGGTCGAGTCTCAGCTCCTGGTTCCGCCTTATCACTTCACCGTGTAGGTCTACCTACCTACTTGCTGACCACTCTAAGGCTAAAGAAGTATTTCCTGACATCCCTTTAACTCGTGTATTAAAACCTTCAGCTGTGTCCTCGTGTACCTGAGACCCTCCTCAATTACAGACTCTCCATATCAACCCTGTTAATTCCTCTCAGTATTCTGTACGTCATAATCATGAAACTTTTGGTCGTTCTGTTTTCTGATATCAAGTTTAGCTCCTTTAGCTCTCCTAGTTTATACCCTTCAGCTTTGTGACTAACCTCGTAGCAAATCTTTGCAGTTTTTTTTCAGTTTACATGCTTTACCAGATGCGGGTTTCACGCTGGCGCTGCATACTCCAAGAAGGAGCTGGACATGCTCCTAAAGTTCAGTACCTGGCCAGCCGGGCTGTGGTTCCTACGTCGGTTTACGTGCAGTAACAGCTTGGTTGATAAGGCCCTGATCCACCATGAGGTCTGGTCACGGATCGTGCCACGGGGGCGTTGACCCCGAAACCCCCTCCAGGTATAATCCAGGTATCTCAAAAACTGGGCTGGTTGCTGTTTATGAATCTGCTATTTTCTAGGTGCTTCACTATTCTGATAATCGTCTCCATTACCTTGTGCAACCGCATGTTAGTGACACCGGCCTATAGTTCAGTATACCTGGAGAGGGTTTCGGGGGTCAACGCCCCCGCGGCCCGGTCTGCGACCAATGCCACCTGTCTTCCCCCCACCAATTTTGACTTATTGTAGATCGCTGGTTCACGCAGTTCCTCTGCTTCATCTCACAGAATACACACACACAAATGTCTGGTCCCACTGTTCAGTAGTTTCTTCACGTCACCTCACGTTGGTGTATTGTGTCCAATACTCGTTGGTGCACTCTCCCACTTTGAAAATGTTCCTGATTACACTGTGTGTTTATATATATTAATAACACACACAAACACGCACACTCTGAAGGGCTCTTCATTCAAGGTATTTGAGCTATACTCCCCCATTTTAAATAAAGCTTGATTATTTTCAATTCTTCCAGGCGCTGTATGATGTCTACTGGTTTAGCGGTCCTCCATGTCACAATAATAATCATAGTAAATAAATAAATAAATATATAATAATGTTTCTGTTTGTCAGCTTGCACAAGGGTCGCCATGTGCAGCTGGACACAGGTGGTCTCTTCTTCCTGAAGGTGCTTCACTCTAAGAAAGACAACGATGCTGGAGTCTACTGGTGCGTCGCCTCCAACTCCATCGGCAAGGTCACCAGCAGGAACGCCACGCTCGAGATCGCTGGTGAGTTACCATCCTTCCCGTTATGTTAAAAATGGTATAAATACCGAGAACTGGAAGATTAAGTAAGACACATGTGCAACAGTTGGGTATCTTTATTGATGAAACGTTTCGCCTACACGGTAGGCTTCTTCAGCCAAATAACGAGACAGTAGAAGTAATGATGATATAATCAGTCCATCAAATGTGGAGAAAAAGTATTTGAGGTGGTCAGTCCCTCAGCCTGGAGAAGAGTTCAGCTCCATGGTCTAGAACATCGTTCCAGACCATGCTGAGGGACTGACCACCTCAAATACTTTTTCTCTAAGTTTGATGGACTGATCACATCTTTACTTTCCTACTTTTACTCCGTCTGTATTTGACTGAAGAAGCCTATTGTGTAGGCGAATCGTTTCATCAATAAAGACCCCCAACTGATGTACATGTATCTTAAGCGTCATCTTCTGATTGTACTATATTTCTGTCTACTACGTCACGGGATGTCATGATAATGGAAAGTGGGGTAGGGAGGGGGGGGGGTAGTAAGAAACGTGTGTTCGTTGTCGATAATCGAACACGAGAGATACCGTACACTTCTATCAGGTTAAGTACCAGTGGAGCCACCCATAACCGTTCCTGGTCACCCACCGAGATTCACCACCCACTGAGGTTCACAATCACCCACTTATAATACCTACAGTACATTAGTTGATCTTTTCTGAGGTTTATCACAAACTGACAGACTTAGGAACCTGAGTCTTTTAATTTGTACACATGTTTTAAAGTTACGTTCATGTACACATGCTTTAAAGTTACTTTCGCCATGTGTACGCGTCAAACCCATGCGTCGGTTCATCCAAGCATGCGTACAGTGAACGCTGGATGAAGTGACAGAGGCAAACACTATACAAAGTTTCAAGAATGAGTATGATCAGATCCTGATATGAATAAAGATGTTCAGTAAGCAGCAGTACCAGGAGCTATGACTCGGTCTCTACAATCAAATGTATTTCGGACCAAACCTACAAGTTTCCAAGCGTCGATTGCAATGTACCTTTTTAATATTCCTTGGATCGTAGGCGAGAAGTGTACATTATAATCTACATCTCAAGAACTCGAGTAGGATTGGTCTTGAATCTGCACACGCAAATCACTGAAGTAAACTTGGCAGACGGTACATTGAATACAGTGAGGGGAAACCTCAGTAAATGTGAAGGGACCAAGACTTTTCAGCGTTTTCCCTTCATATACAAAGGAAATAACCAGCAGACCCCTGGTTATCTTCAAGAAGTTACAGGCCAGGTTTCTTAGGTCAATCCCTGATCATCTGGGCTGTAGTGCTTATGTTAAACTTCGTTCAGCTAGCACCAACAGACTCGTTGATCAGGCCATCCACCGCAAAGTCTGGTCTGGGAACGGGGGGCGTTGGCTTCCGGAACACATTCTAGGTAGACTCCAGGTAGATAGGTAGCCTCTAGGTAAATAGGTAGAAACCAGGTAGATACGTAGATCATAAGTACGTAGATAGGTAGACCCCCAAATAGATAGATTTCAGGTAGATAGGTAGACCCTAGGTAGATAATTTGACCCAGGTAGATAAGAGTACAACTGGGTGATGCTTAATTCAATCTTACTACCAGCCCTCTAGGAACTCAGGCAGCGCTGTATAGTCCTTGTGGCTTAGCGCTTCTTTTTTTGATTATAATAATAATCTAGGAACTCAGATTGGCGCTTTACGGCTCGAAATCGCGTTCAAATTGAGTATGGGCTTTGAGGGCGTGTTGGAGTGGGCGTGGCTTGGGAACGTGGGCTCGTGGGCGTAGGAAGGTGTGGGCATTAGCTGTTTGTTATGGTGATGGCGTCTTCAGCCCTACACAGCGCCACTTTAACATACATCTTGTTGATGACCTCGTCTTGAGGAAGCAAGACTGGTGGTAGTAGTGGCTAGGCTGATGGGTGGGGGAACTGGTAGTAGTATGTTAATGAGTGGAGGAACTGACAGTAGTAGGCTAATGGGTGGGGGAACTGGTAGTAATAGGTTAATGGGTTGGGTACGGGTGGTGGTAGTGGGTAGGTTAAGGAGTGTATAAGGTATTGTATGCCATTTTGATATTCACAGTGTATAAGGGTGATGGTAGTGGTAGGCTTTAATGAGTGTATAAAGGTGATAGTGGTGGGTAGGTTAATGGGTGGGCATGGATTGGGAGTCCGGGTAGGTAGTAAGTAGGTTCGTCAGACGGTACACAGTACTGCCTTTGAAAAGTAGGTGCAGTGAGGTACCTGGGTATAAAAAGCTCTAAACTTCTCAACGCTCTTCGTGCATCATATTCTTGATGGTATACAGTACCGACAAGTTAAAGAATAAGACATGTGCAACATTTCGGTATCTTCATTGCCGAAACGTTTCCCCCATCACAACAGGCTTCTTCAGTCGAATATAACACTTGAGGCATTAGTAGCAGTTTTGGCGTTATCAGTACGTTATCCTTGGTAGGTAGAAGTCGCTTCAATCCTAGAGGATAGGCATGTGGCTAGACCTTAAATACGAGACTAGAAGCGAGGTGAAACAGCTGGAGGTGGCATCACAGGTGAGGATGGCCCACTAGTGGAAGTAGGTCGTGCCAGATAGTTTGACATGACATACCTCCATAACAAGACGTACTTCTTCCGCCCTCTAAGCATTAAGAGGCCACTCAGGGAAGGCTCCTTGTTGCCGGAGGGGCTCTTGATGTCAGAATCTGGACCTCCCCTTCCATTAATCGAAGCTGGTTGCTTAGCATTACCCCCCCCCCAGGTGCTGTGGGAGTTCATCAACCTACTTTCATGTACTCACGTTTGTTCGTTTCTCATGTAAAGTCTTAGTTTATTGTACTCTTTGTTAACAAGAAGATTCTTTTATTTCAAGCTTTGATAACTATATGTGAATCACGCAGATGTTTAAAACTGATTGCTTCAAATTGAGGGCAATTACTGTTTAGAGACGTTTCGCTCACTAAGAGCTTCTTCAGTACAATGAAGTGGCTCTTGGTGCACGAGACGTCTACTACATAGTTCTCCATACGTTGCTTTTGCGAAATAAATGTTGTGCTGCACGTTATAACACCAGCGTGTATCACAGTAACACAAGGTGGATGGCCTGATGAACTAGGCTGTTGGTGCTAGCACCTCGCGGTCCAACGTATCCACCACGTGAGGAATTTATCCAGATCCCTCTTGGAGAGAGCTGGAGGTCTGTTGGTAATACCCCTTGTATATATGAAGGGATTGTGTTGATTCTTGTTCCCCTTACACTTACTAAACCTTTTGAGTTGTTTTGGGCAACTAGTGGTGAGTGTTGATCCTGCTCCAGGTAGGTGAACGGAACTACTGGCAGCCAGGCTTCTCACACACATCTAGTAAACTCTACGAGAACAATATAAAATGTACTTCTGTGTCGAGGTTAAATATTTATTTACTAAAACGTACAAAAACTGGTCCTTTTTTTTCAATATTTTTCCATGCTGCTATTACGTTAGGTTACACAAATAACCCGCAAATAGGAGAGCGAAACTTATGACTACGTTTCTATCTGTCGTCATAAGTCTCATTCTGTGTGCTCGTTATTGTCTTGTTCCAGTCACGATATTGTTCTTCCTTATTCTTTAGAGATACGTTAAATTTAACGTATCTCTGAAGAATAATAGCTAGCTGCCATTTGGTCATAATAAATTAGCAAGAACCAGAGGGAACAACATGATAATAGAAGCCAATTAGAACTACGGCGAGACTTTCATAGAACAAGTAAAATACAATACAGGCAGTGAAAGACCTAAGTCATATTAAGAATCATTTTCGAAAGCTACAGCAAGGTCATAGAAAGGAATTAAGAAGCAACAGGAGTCATTGTCTCGCAGCTGAAGGAAGTGACAGGGGCACTCCCTTCTCTCTCTCTGTGACCCGTCTATCATAATTTGTTGTATTTGGACAGCCAGAGATCACAGAAACACCAGCTATACGAAGTTAAGTCTCCGCAAGACCAACCCCAGCAAGACCAACCCCAGCAAGACCAACCACAGCAAGACCAACCCCAGCAAGACCAACCACAGCAAGACCAACCCTAGCAAGACCATCCCCAGCAAGACCATCCCTAGCAAGACCAACCCTAGCAAGGCCAATCCCAGCAAGGCCAACCCCCAGCAAGACCATCCCCAGCAAGACCAACCCTAGCAAGGCCAATCCCAGCAAGACCATCCCCAGCAAGGCCAATCCCAGCAAGGCCATCCCCAGCAAGACCATCCCCAGCAAGACCATCCCCAGCAAGACCATCCCCAGCAAGACCATCCCCAGCAAGACCATCCCCAGCAAGACCATCCCCAGCAAGACCAACCCTAGCAAGGCCAATCCCAGCAAGGCCAACCCCAGCAAGACCATCCCCAGCAAGACCAACCTAGCAAGGCCAATCCACAAGACCATCCCAGCAAGACCATCCCCAGCAAGACCATCCCCAGCAAGACCATCCCCAGCAAGACCATCCCCAGCAAGACCAACCCTAGCAAGGCCAATCCCAGCAAGGCCAACCCCAGCAAGACCATCCCCAGCAAGACCAACCCTAGCAAGGCCAATCCCAGCAAGACCATCCCCAGCAAGACCATCCCCAGCAAGACCATCCCCAGCAAGACCATCCCCAGCTAGACCATCCCCAGCAAGACCAACCCTAGCAAGGCCAATCCCAACAAGGCCAACCCCCAGCAAGACCAACCACAGCAGAACTAATCTCCGCGAGACCAGCCACACACATTGTTGATGGAAAAAGGCGCCGCGAAGATGGAAAATAATGTGATGGACAAGTTGGGGAGAAAATAATTTTTTGAAGTCTTCCACTCAAGAGGAAGCACTAAAGAGCACCAGCTCTACGGTACTTGCTCAAGTAGTTTCTTGAGGATGAGGGAGGCAGCCCATTCTTGCCCCATGAGGCTGCTACCAATGAGAAAAAGGAAGAAAGAGGTTTAGTAAGAGGCATGTATGAGGGGAGATGTGGAAGGGGA